TTCACTTCACTTAGCTCATTTTTCCAACAGCATGTGAATTTTTAATTTCAAAAAATCCAATTCTCCTGGGAAACGGAATTTTTAATGGAAATTATGTACAATTTATAAAATAGACATCCTTTTTTTTATTCTTCCACCGGAAGACTTCTTTTAGAAAAAGATACGGAAAATCCGAAGCAGGGAAGGTAAAAATCAGCGAAAAATCTTATCAGAAGAAATAGTGTACTTTCATCTCCTTGGTGAATAAAACTAAAAGAGATACACGTATCTTAAGAAAACCGCGCGCGAGGAAAGTAAATCGTACAAATGTGCAAAGAGAGCATCGTTGTCAAATAAAGGGTTAGCACATGCTTTTAAGGCAGGAACTGTTCTCTTTTCAAATCAAAAAAAAAGAAGAAGAAGAAGAAGAAGGTGAAAAGAAAAGAGCGAGAGAGAGACGACTTCATTTTAACACACATTTTTCTATCCTTTACGCTCCACGCTTTTCCGTCGAGCTTTCACCCGAGGTTTGTAATATTTTCTGGTCACGTCTAGGATATGTAGGAACTTTAAAACGTGGTGCCTTCGTGCTTACGGAATATTAAAACCATTCATATTTACCCAGAGACTAGATACAGTAGGCACGTAATAACACATTTTTTCTCTTGCAGAAATAATCGCCCCTGGCTTTGGTCTTCGCACCTATAGTGGGTCTGTTCGCTTTTATACTGCCATTACACTCTGAAAGGCTCTCATTGCAGTTTTTAGATTTATCTATGAACTACCATATAGTCACGCTCCGTAGCCAAGTGAGTACTTCACTACAATTGTATCTATATTTACAGTGCTTGTTTTAGTCAATATCGATTGATTCTGAAAAAATATTTTTTCTACGCTATTCCAAATATCACGAACACTTTTTATATTTCCAAATCTTAAAGACGAGATTTTTAATTGTTTTAATTGTTAAAAATCAAAAAAAGATTAATTTATAAACTCAAGAGTAAGTGTCAAACGAAATATGTATGCAAATGATGCATAACGTTAAATTAGAAATACAGGAAATCACCAGTGGTAAAGGTAGTGTTTGATTAAAATTTTCCCTTGACATAGTGAAACTTTATGGTCCCCTGGAAAATCTAAGATTACAAATTTTCATTAAAAACTTTACCCTCCCGCTTTATCTTCCATTCTACGTATTTTAGTGATTTGCATAACTTTAATGCAGCATTGTTACATAACAGTCATGTGCACGAGAGAAACTTTGACGCTCTCTGTTGTAAGCACTTTCTCTATAAACGTGTGATTATTAATAAGTAAGAAAACATTTTAGCATTTACTTAAAAGTTATTCCTAAGTTGAATAGTATACAATGACTTTGACTAAAGTTCCATTTTCAACGAAAGACATTTTCGTCATTTTCAAAGCACCAGGTTCAGAGATCGTAACCTAACTTGGTAATGAAGTATAAAAATATATTTTCAAAGAAATAAAACTTGGATATTAACCTATGAATCTTAAAAAATCATCACTTTTTAATTACTCTTTTCTAAAATGTTTATAAATATTAAAAAATTGATTACTACTTTGATTTAGGAAATGGTGACCTTGGAAGGAACTGTATAAAAGATGCCACTCTTGGTGAATTCATCAGTCCAGAGATAGTTGTCTTGATGAGTAAGTCTAAACCAATTCTGTGCCAGTCATCAAGTGTCTTTTTTCGGCTAACCCGAAAGCATTTTTACGAAAACACCTAGTTTCGTGTTTCTGCATCCGGTCGTCAAAATCATATAATATAATTTTTAGATTAGAAATTAGAATAATTATGTTATCAATGCCTAATATAATTTCTTTTCATTAGCACACCCAGGAGGACAAACAACAATCAGTACTATTTCCTTTATTGAGTTATTACAAATAAAATCGATTAACAGCAAATAATCTTAGGAAAAAAGTAATTCTAATTAGATAAACTTTGATGTAGAATTTGTCTTCCAATTAGTATAGTTTATAAACTTGCTAGTGAATTGTTTGGCAAGCATCAAACCTCAGCAATATACGCTTCTCAATGCTCGTAATAAATCAAACACTCACACACACATACACATCATAGGTCATAGTGAATATCACCATATAGTATTATATACAGAAGCTAATATGTTCCCTATGTTCGGAGCTTTGTATTTGATATGCCAAGATTAGACAATTCAATTGTTAACCAAGTTGGCGCAAATTCAATTTTTTTTCGGTCGACCAACAACGCGAGCTTTAAAACTCTTCTCCAGCAAACCAGCAACATAATTAAATTTTCATATACAAAGCTGACAGGCTTTAGTCCATGCTAGTCTTAAAACAGAAGATGCAAACTGCTGAATATGTAAATTTCCTGTGTATCTGGCGATCTCATCATGCAATTCTAATACAAAGACCTTTAGTCAAAGTCCGACACAAAGGAATTTAAATCGCATTTATACATGTAAATATAATAATAAGAATAATAATATGCATATAAAATTTGTAATAATTGCTAGAAAAATAAATATATAAAGGGAATAAATGTTTAAAAAATTTAAATCTGATTCTTTAAATCTATTCGAAGTTTATAATTGTTAATTAATTTGATAATTATATGTTTTTATTAAAATGTGTTAAATTATCATCCAAATGCTGAGCAATAAATGTGAACAACAATTTCGAGGTTAGTCTAAGTACTATAGAACTAATTCGCCACTACATCAAGGTAATATTAGTGGATCCTTTGACCTACCACAGTATAACAAACATTTGATTATGAATCATGATTGCTAATTAACAAATACATTGTTATCGAAGATGTGTATAATTATGAGTATCTACAGAAATATACAAAATAATCTAAAAAATCTACAAAATAGTTCATTGTAATATTAATAATAATTACTAGAATAATAGTCTTAACTTCATAGTCTTTAATTAATTTGATCACTAATTACTTCAACTGATTAGATTTTAGAAAAATAGAAAAATTAATAAAAATTTTTTTTACATTGCCATGTGCTCATTGAGGAATAGAATATTTGCTCGGTATTGGTCTGTCTATAGTTCAATCAAGTGGATTCTCTTCGCGCTACCAAATTAAGCGAAATTCCAAGGAATGAAGTGGAATTCACAAGGGAAGCATTAACGGTATATTGATTATTGATAGACGGAGAAGGAACGCAGCAATCACTTAAACTTCATATAAACTCATTTCATGAGCGTCTCTCTCTCACACACACACAAATTTACAATAATTAGTCATTCAATATAACGACCTCGCTCTAGATCTTGTTCTAATCTGCTTTTCTTCTTTGGCTCCTCTTGCTCCATGCCGCACGGTATATTCCACGCAGTGTCTCACACCTGAAACTTTCAAACGATGAGCTCTGCATATTCAATAGTTTGTTCTCTCCACCCACTGTAAATTCTCTACAAAGGAACTGCACCACATTTTATCTTAGATTAAACTATTTACTTTACTTCTTTTCGATATAAACTTGTGCTTAATTAAAAATTTTTTTCAATTCCAGCAAATTCAACATTCTTTGTGAATTTCTTTTAATCAACTGAATAAATATTCATTGAGGAATTTCGCGTTTTATTCTAAACCGCAAGTATAGTTTGTTTGACCTTATCTTATTTTGGGTTTTAAGAATATAGATTGTATCTTAGTAGATATATGTTATTTGTTAATTAATGTTTATATAAATTTAACAGATATTTTACTTATTTTCGTAATTTAAAATTGAAATTTTTGATTGAAATTTACTATTTAGACTTTTTGATAATTTTCAAAATAAATTTATCAGCATATGAAGTATAAATATTCCTTTTCCACGTCATGAAAGTCTAGATTATCCACATTCATCTCTTTAAAATTGTCATTGTCGCAGTTGTTGAAGAAGAGGAGTTGTTCCATCCAAAGCGTCCTTTACTAATTTCTTAGTATTTTTATCTTCTTCCATCTTCATCGTCATTGTAAATTGTTACGTTTCGACCGTTTTTTCTGTTTTGTCTTTGTTTTCTTTCAAAAATGTCACAACATTCATAGAGATGCTGTCTCAATTCAACTGTTTGTTGAATATTATTTGTTATTATTATTATTTGTCAGAAAGAAAGAATAAGTGAAATGAACTTTTACATAAACTATAAAAATTGAAAAGCATATTTTTTTCTAATATTGGAGAATTTTATTCGTAAAATTTTAACAAACCTTTCACAGCTCCAATATTAGAAAAAAGGGCAGTTAAGGGGTTAAGCCACCCTGAACGCATGAAAATCGGATGGTTTTTTAGGAATTTTTTTGACGAAACTATTTGAGGTAGGAATTTTTTAGATTTATTGATAATTTAATACCATATCTTAAGCTTTATAAATATTAAAAAAAAGTTGTTTTTAATTAAAAATGGCGGAGATATAAGCATTGGCGTGGATCAGTTTTTCCGGAGTACTCCTTGATGGTGTTGTGCATGATTGGCATTTCAATTTTTGTCTGAAACAAGTAAACAAATATTTTTCTTAAAAAGTGATAAATTTTGAACAGTGACGAAGCCGTTTTTATTTAGGAAGATGTATTTTAATTTTCAAGTCAATCGGTTGAATAGTTTTTGAGTTATCATGTACACCGCCTCGAAAAATGTGGTTTCGAGAAAAACGCAAAAGAAGAAAAAATGTACTTTAGTGTATTATAACTTGAAATTTTGTCAACTTAATAATTAATCAGCAATTCCATAGTCAGTCTTCAAGAAACAACTACAATTGTAGTGGTACATTCACGAGTTAGAATCAGAGTGACCAACGGAATGAACTTAAATCCCTACAAACTACCAGCACTCCTATTATCACTTTAATGAACTACTTCTATTTTCTAAGTCTCCACTGGTAACTCTCTTTTCAGCGAATAATTTTACCGACTGCAACTATCGCTCTTCCTTCTGTCTTACCATATAAGGAATCACTATGAAGTTATCGTTTTTGTCCCAATAAAAACCGCAGTGCTGACATCAATTCTTGCATCTGTCAAATTGTATATTCTATATTGTAAATGAATGCAAAAAAAAAGTTGATTTTTTTGACATCTCCAACAAAACATTCTACTTTAGTGCAATAAATTGAAATGAAGTAACGGACATAAATTATTAAAAATGTAAATTAACAGCTCAATACTCATTGATTAACTGGGAACGCAATAAAATAGTAAACATTTCTTTAAAATCAATACAGAAAAAAATAATAATATACTTCATCATGGCAAATCGTGAGACTTTTATTAATTCAAAAACTTCCGAAGATCATAGCGTTGAGGTACGTATATCAAAATTTTTAATTTTATTCCCTAAAAATTTTGTTTAGTAAATTCTGTAAATTTTTATAAAAAAAAATTATAAAACTTGTAGGTACATTTTTCCATAAACAATATTTTTTGCAACTCTTTTTCCTTGACCTTATTCCCTTAGGTTCTTTAGCAAGAATTTAAATTTTTTTTACAATATTATTTATTAAAACTTATTAAATAATTTATTAAGTAATAATTTCTTAAATAATTTTTTAAATAATAATTGTTTAATAACTGTTATTAAATAGTAATATTTTTATATTATTCTTAGTAAAGGATTATTTTTATCAAACCGAACAGGCTTTTTAATTCTTTATTTTATAAAATTTTTTCTAAAAATTTTTTTCTTGAAAAATATTAACAGGGTTCGTATTTTTTATAACTTTTTCGACAAAATATATTTTAATTTTATTTTCTGACATTTAACAACTGAAGTCGAAGACTTTGGGTCGATGCCCTTTTCAAGGACGAGAAACAAAAACTTATTAAAATTGAAAATTTAAATTATTTCTATTTATCATTAGCAATAACTTTATAATTTTTTATAGCTAATATTATTATTTAAAAAAAAATATATTATAACAAATTTTCTATTGGGTCATTCCACGCGAAAGATTTAAAAAAAAAAAATTTTATTAAAATAATTTTATAATTTATAAACTTATGCGTTTTTAAAACGACTTTAAAATAAACATAGAATATTTTGAATTAAATGTCAATTTAATACCAAAAGCCATAAAAAATAACTTTTTTCGAAATTTAAATTTTAAAAATTTAAATTTTAATAATTTTAGCTATCATTGCTTAAAGATGTTCAATAAGGGATGAAAAGATGCGTTTTAAAAGACGTTACAAAATTAATAACAAAAATATATGTACAAGTCACAAAAAATTAAAAATTTGCAGAAAATTTTTTTTTTAATTTTAAAACACAAAAAAGAAGCTCATTGAGAATTTTAATGTTTGTCCATTTTTATTGAAACAGACATTGGCTGAGGTGTTTCGATGTTTTATTTGCATGGAAAAACTTCGAGATGCGCATCTCTGTCCACATTGCAGCAAATTGTGCTGCTACACCTGCATTCGTCGATGGCTTACTGAACAACGTTCCCAATGTCCTCATTGTCGAGCGTCCCTTCATCTTCATGAACTTGTAAATTGTCGATGGGTTGAAGAAGTTACACAACAACTGGATACACTACAATCAGTTGGAATTTCCAATTCTCGACCAGATGACTGCCTCAGAGACAAGTACTTAATACCCACAAATCTTATAAATTTTAATTTTAATATCTTATTTTTTTGATTTTTAAATGTATTTTTTTTACAGAAATGGCATTGTTCTATACGATTTGTCTTTCATCTTGACTTTTACTCTTAATTTCTTAATACATTTTTTACGTTGGAGAATTATTAATTATAAATAAAGGAGAATAAACGAAAACATTCGGACAATTATTTTTTTAAAAATTGGTTTACTCCAACGTTTCGCAATCTAAATGATTTCCTCTTCAGGGAGTCTATAAAAATATAATGTAAATAATATACAAAAAGTTTAATATTCGTCAATCATTATAAGTAACAGAATATAAAAATATACATCAATAAGAAAAATATAAATTTTTAAATAAATTAAACTAACATTCATTAATTATTATAATAACATAACATAAAAAATTAATGATCAGTAAATATTAAAAATGAATATAAAATACATAAAAAATGGTATAAATAAATAAATAAATAAGGCATCTTACCAAAAAATTAATAAAAACATTTAGACTTTATGGTCTTCTTGATTTTTTTACCCAGACCAACGTAAAAAAATATAAGCAATAATTTTTTTTTTAAAGATGTACCGTACATCAAGAGAAACTATCCGTCTTTTGTTGGACCTGTCGACGTTGTATTTGCCATCAATGTGCTTTATGGGGTGGCACTCATTCTGGTCATACATTCAAACCTCTGGAAGAAGTTTACGAGGATCATGTCACGCAGATAAAAACCGAAGTTGGACAATTAAAACGAAGACTTATGGAACTTATAAGTCTCGTTCAAGAAGTGGTATTCTAATACTCCAATTATTTTAATTTTTCCCTCTATATATGAAACTTTTGCTCTCCTATTACAAGACATTATTTTCACTCTCTTCTAGAGTGAGAAAAAAATTAAATTTGACATGATTTTATTTAAGGAGCGAAATGTGGAATCCGTAAGAGCGGCAAAAGACGAGAGAGTTCGTGAAATTCGAAATGCCGTGGAACTGATGATAGCGAGATTGGACTCACAATTGAAAGCAAAATTATTAACTCTAATGGCGCAGAAGAATTCCCTGACTCTTGAGACTGAACAACTAGAGGCATTATTGCAGGAAGTTGAGCATCAATTGCACACGTGTACACGTTCCGAGCTCATAATCAAAAGTTCTGATCTCTCTGCTATGATTAATCAGGTCCGAAAGAAGCCAATGACAAGTTTTGTTACCGCTCCAGTTCCCGCTGATTTTCACAGGTATGTTCTCTAGTTTCTGTATTTAAACCCCTTTAAATTTTCATTTTTTAATAAATCCTTTCATTAAAAACTAAAAGTTAAATACGAAATAAAAATATAAAATAAATACGAAATAAAAATATAAAATAAATAGGAAATAAAAATATGTAAATAAGAAATATTAAAGTGTAAAAAATGATTAAAGTAAAAATATTTGAATTTTCCAGTGAAATAGTACCTGGTTATGATAGTGCAACTTTCGCGATGCAAAATTTCACTCAATTGCAATTGAAAGCGGATCCAGTTTATTCGGCGCCTTTACATATTAACGGTTTGTGTTGGAGACTCAAAGTTTATCCCGATGGCAATGGAGTTGTGCGGGGAAATTATTTGTCCGTTTTCTTAGAATTAAGCGCTGGACTGCCGGAAACTTCTAAGTGAGTTTACTCCCGACTTCTTTATTTTCTGTTCTGAAATTTTCCAAAGATGGTAAATTCTTTTCTTGAATGGAAAATTTAATTCTAATCTAGTTTTCATATTTTTGAAAGGTACGAGTATAGAGTTGAAATGATTCATCAGGGTTCACAAGACACCAGTAAAAATATTGTACGTGAATTTGCATCTGACTTTGAAATTGGCGAATGCTGGGGCTACAATCGTTTCTTTCGATTGAATTTGCTCGCGACTGAGGGTTATTTAAATACTGAATTGGATACTCTTATTCTTAGGTAAAAAGTTTTCGTTTTCAGAATAATAAAACTAAACAACTTTGTGATTTAAAACTAAACAAAGTTGTTTAGTTTTATCATTCGAAAAACGAAAACTTTGTAATTGTATTTTAATAACTTTTTTAGGTTCCAAGTACGTCCACCGACATTTTATCAGCGTTGTAGAGATCAACAGTGGTATATTAGTCAATTGGTTACTCTTCAAAATCAGTACGCTACACAAATTAATGAACTCAAGGAGGTAGAATTTTGCGTCTTCTAATTTTCAGTTCTATTCGAATATTTTATTTAATTTATTTTAACTTTATTCATTTAAAATTGATTGAATTTATTCTGTTTTTTTAGCGACTGGCGATTGAAATTTCAAGAAATACGGTAACCGCAACAAGAGCCTCGATTGGATCTGCACTTGGCAGTCCTTCCTCGGGAGGAAACGTGATTTCCTTAACACAACAAACTGGTTCAGGAGATTTGACTTTTGCTTCCGGTCTCATGAGGAATGTGGATTTTTTAACACCCTCTAGGTAATTCTATATTCTTATTTTATATATAATAATTTATACTATTAAATTTTTCGTTTCCGAAAATCCATACTAATTAATTTCTAATTTCTGCAATAATTCTTTTTTATATTTTTCTACTTAAATATTCAAATAATTTTTTTTCAGATCAATGCAAAATATTTTAGGAAACGTAAATCCTTCCGGTGTTCTTATAGAAAATCAAATACTCTCGTTATGCGAACCCAGTAATCTTAATATTCATCCAATCGGCTCAGCGACGACATTATCTTCCGCTTCCTCAAAGACAAGTGCAAAACAATCAATTAATTGTTCTGACGCCTCTCCATCGGTTGCTGGAAAAAATAACGATAGATCTGCTGGTGATTCTCAAGCCGCTGGAATGAGAACTCCCTCACCTTCGCATTCACCCTCGATTCATAATCAAAACAATGCCTCTTCGAGTAGTAGCAGCAGTGAATATGAGGTAAACTATAATAAATAAAAAATTTTATTTTTATTAAAAATATTAATTTTAAATACAAATTTTAATTTATAAAATTAAATACATTGAAATACATTTTATAAATTTCCATTTTCAGGAAATTAGCGAACACGATATTTATTTAGATGAATGTGACAATAATGAGCCGAATCTCACTCTTCTTGATGATAATTCCAACGATGAAAATGACGTTGACGACGAAACAATGTCAGGTACTTAAAAACTGATCGATTTCCTCTATTATTTGAATTATCAGATTCTTTTGTCAAACTGTATTTTAATGTTATTCATATTTATTTGTGAAATTGGTTAAATAATTGAAAGCTACTTGGAAGTTTTTTTTTTAAATTGAATTAAAAAAAAAAAATTTAATTGTAACAAAAAATTTAATACAATTATTTTCACGATAATTCTTGATCAGAGAGCTGTTCGTCAATTGTCGAAGCAATAAGTCGCTCGTGCTCGAAATTGGAAAGAAAGTCTGAAATTGAAAAGCCAACTAGCGAGAAAAGAATGGATTTCGCGAAAGATACTCCTAAAAAATTATAAAAATTATCTAAATTTCTCTAAATATGAAAAATTCTCCAGAATCTTTTTTTAACATTTAAAAATTTTACCTGTGATTTTGTCGAAAATATAATAAAAAAAATATTAGTAACTTAAAATTTATGTAAATTAAAAATTTGATAAATTTCAAAATGAAATTGTTTATTAAATAAATTGAAATTTGTTCTTCCAGGTGAAAATGACGTTGAAGATGTAGAAACTTTAATTCCCTGGATGCTCAAAAAGAAAGGAAAATACCCAGGAAATGTTAAAATTTCTGGAGAAAATTGCAGGTAGGAAAAATAATCTTTAACTAACGTTAAATTAAAATTTGAACGAATTTACATTTTTGTAAATTGTAATTCAAAATTTGTATTTCGATAAAAATAATTATTTTTAAATTTGTCCAAAAATAAATTAGATCACAGGACAATGACAGTGAGAAGCAAAAATTGATGTTCATGCAATTATTCAGAATGCGGAATAGAAATTGTCCTTATTTAAATCGTGTTATGGAGCAGGAGAAATATTTTTCGAAAATTGTTAAAGTTGAAAACAAATGGCAAAGTCAAGCGGAACTTGATTCAACGCCAGGAAAACAGAATCAAATTTCTTTTGCGCCTCTTTGTAATATGATGAGATCGAGTCGTTTGGCCAATATTTGCCAATCAGAGAACGCTGGAATTCTTCTACCTTGTCAGCAGACTAAATCCGAACCAGTCACAAGGTCCAATTCGATCGATTGCGATAAAGGTTTTCCAGATTTACTTCTCAGGACGGAATCGAGAAAAAGTGATCGTGACGCTACAGAGTTGCTCGATCTCACTGTTCCTAGCGGTTAGTAAATTTTATATTTAAAAAAAATTAGTGTTTTTATTACTATGTTTAAAAACTCGAATATTATATCAAATTTTATATTTTCTGATCAATTACTCAATTTTTTATTATTTAATTTTTTATTTTGAAAGAAAATAAAATACTGTAAAATAATTTTTAAAATAATCTTTTTTTCCAGTAATTTTAACTGATAAGGAAAGTCCCATGCACTCGACTGCAAGACGTATGTCTTCTCCGATAACAGCGACAAATTTAAGTTTAGATCCTGAAATTAGTGAAATTTTCGAGTTTAAACAATTACTGGATACAATACAATTTTCGTCATTGCCGCAAAAAGACACAAAACCCGGAGTCACCAAAAAAAAGTACTTTTTATTAATTTCCAATGATTCCAATAATCATAATTATACATTTTCTTATTTTTAATTATAAAATCAATTTTTAAAAACTTTCAAGACTAACTTTTTATTAAAATTTTCATCTTTAAAATTTCCTTTGGTACATTTTTTTTATTTAAAATATAGTTAAATTTCATTTTTTTTCTAAAGTAATTTCGAGAAAAAAATTTACTAATTACTATTTTTCTTTGCAGAAAAAATTGCATGCAAAAGAAGCCGATTTTCTTGCCAAATTTTGAGGAACAATCTGCATGTAGATCTGATAATATTGAATGTATTCCACATTCGAGTAATTTTAGTTGGGTACCACCTTTATTTCAACACCCGCACGGTAACTAAAATATTTTTTATACATGATAATCTGTTGTATTTTAAGAAATTCGGTTTTTCAAATTTTTGATAATTTTAGATTTTTTTTACCAAAGGGAGGAGACTATTAAATAAGTAAAGTGTTTTTGAAGAGCCCAAAAATAGGGGAGCTAAATGCCATAAAACAAAAGAGAAAAAAATGTTCAATTTTAAGAAATTCAATTTTTTGAATTTTTGATAATTTTTAATAAATTTAAATTTTTTACCAAAGGGTGGAGACTATTAAATAAGTAAAGTGTTTTTTAAGAGCACAAAAATAGGGGAGCTAAATGCCATAAAACAGAAGAAAAAATGTTGAATTTTAAGAAATTCGGTTTTTTGAATTTTTAATAATTTTTAATATTTTTTTATTTTTTACCAAAGGGTGGAGACTATTAAATAAGTAAAGTGTTTTTCAAGAGCACAAAAATAGTGGAGCTAAATGCCATAAAACAAAAGAGGAAATGTTGAATTTTAAGAAATTCGGTTTTTTGAATTTTTGATAATTTTTAATAAATTTAAATTTTTTACCAAAGGGTGGAGACTATTAAATAAGTAAAGTGTTTTTTAAGAGCACAAAAATATTCGAGCTAAATGCCATAGAACAAAAGAGGAAATGTTCAAATTTAAGAAATTCAATTTTTTGAATTTTTGATAATTTTTAATAATTTTTTATTTTTTACCAAAGGGTGGAGACTATTAAATAAGTAAAGTGTTTTTCAAGAGCACAAAAATAGTGGAGCTAAATGCCATAAAACAAAAGAGGAAATGTCGAATTTTAAGAAATTCGGTTTTTTGAATTTTTGATAATTTTTAATAAATTTAAATTTTTTACCAAAGGGTGGAGACTATTAAATAAGTAAAGTGTTTTTTAAGAGCACAAAAATAGGGGAGCTAAATGCCATAAAACAGAAGAAAAAATGTTGAATTTTAAGAAATTCGGTTTTTTGAATTTTTGATAATTTTTAATATTTTTTTATTTTTTACCAAAGGGTGGAGACTATTAAATAAGTAAAGTGTTTTTTAAAAGCACAAAAATAGGGGAGCTAAATGCCATAAAACAGAAGAAAAAATGTTGAATTTTAAGAAATTCGGTTTTTTGAATTTTTTAAAATTTTTAATAAATTTAATTTTTTTACCAAAGGGTGGAGACTATTAAAAAAGTAAAGTGTTTTACAAGAGCACAAAAATAGGAGAGCTAAATGCCATAAAACAAAAGAGAAAATGTTGAATTATAAGAAATTCGGTTTTTTGAATTTTTGATAATTTTTAATAAATTTAAATTTTTTACCAAAGGGTGGAGACTATTAAATAAGTAAAGTGTTTTTTAAAAGCACAAAAATAGGGGAGCTAAATGCCATGAAAAAGAAGAAAAAATGTTAAATTTTAAAAAATTCGGTTTTCCGAAATTTTGATAATTTTAAAAAATTTTAAATTTTTTCCTAAAGGGTGGAGACTATAAAATAAGTAAAGTGTTTTTGAAGAGCACAAAAATAATGATGCTGTATGCCATAAAAAAGAAGAAAAAATGTTGAATTTTAAGAAATTCGTTTTTTTGAATTTCTGATAATTTAAAAAAAATGTTAAATTTTTGAACGAAGGGTGGAGATTATTAATTGAGTAAAGTGTTTTTGAAAAGTCTAAATATAATGAAGCTAATTACCATAAAATAGAAGAAACCGTGTTAAATAATTAAAATATTATCTAATAATTTTAATAAAATTTTATTTAGTTTCAGAATCACCTCAAAGTTCTTCCAGTCACGCATCTAATATTACAAGTCCCTCTAAGTGAGTCTAAACATATTTTTAATGAAAAACTTTTTTAAGCAATTAAAAAATTAGTTAAAGTTTTAATTTTTCAATTTAAAATTCTAAGCAAATTATTATTTTTCAGAACACTTAAGGACTTGAACTCTCCATGATACTCCAAGTATTTATTATAAGATCTCAAAAAAAATTCGCATTTGTAAATATTTTAAGGATCTAAGATCTGTTTGTAAACCAATTTCTAAAATTTTTTAAATATTTAATATTTACTCTATTTCTCTAAATCTTTTCGTGAGTTTTTTTTCAACAGCAAAGAACTTTAAAAATTTTTAATATATATATAACTGTTTTAAAGCACAAAAATTAATCTTAAAATTTGCAATAATTAGAAGTTAATCAAGTTTTCCAGCTTGGAAAAAGTATTTCTTAAAAATCAAAATTTTTATTCTACTTTTAATTTCTAATTCTATCTTTCTTGTTTTATTAGAAGAATTTTTCTATAATTTCAAGGGTAAAAAAAATGTTGCTTGTTTTTTTTTTTTTTTTTGCTTTTATTGTTCAATGTCACACAATTATTTGATATTTAAATGTTGCTTACTAGATAAAATAATTTGCAAAGAGAGAAAAAAAAGAAAAAAAGTGATAAAACTAAAGTAGCAACAATATAATTGTTTATTTTGTAGTGTTTACATATATAGTGAAAGTAATACTCGACAAAATGTATTTGATATTTAAAATAAATTATTAATATTTACAGTCGTCATAGGAAAAGATTATTAGTTCGACTTAATACTTTTCGTTAGATGAAAGTTTAGAATGAATTTAAAATGTACTGTTCAATATAAAGTACTTTTATTCATTGCAACTTTTTTTTCATTTTTCTAATTACGATTTATGATAAACGAAAAATAGCAAAATTAGTAACAATCTTAATAACTGAGAATCGTAGAAGATAAAAATTCATTAACAGAATAAAAATATAAAATTCTTGAGATTCTAATTGTTGATCAAGGCAGACTAAAAATCTTTTTTTACTGACAAAAATCAACGTCGAAAAAAGTTATTGTGAAACAAAAGTATAACTTTAAAATCGTCTTTCTAATTTTATTAAATTTCACGTAAACATTTCGTGCAATTCTTCAAGTGAATAAAGTAATTAAATTGCAAAACTAGGAATAATTAATTTATATTGCACCCTTGTGTCAATACTTTCCAATTACTCTTAAAAATAAATTTTTAATTTATTTCAAGAAATTATATTACGAATTTATGTTCAATTTTTTCAGTAAATATAATTCTTCTAATGAGAGAATAACGGATTAATTTCGAACATTGTTATAAAAAAAGTATTTTATCAACACATTGTGTAGAAAAATTTTACTTAAAAAAATGTTCTACTCATTTAGATAATTTTTAACCTTCCTACTTATAAAAAGTTAAATCAGAGATTGTAGAAAAAAGGAGAAAATATTTCTTCAATTTGTCTATAAAAATAACCCCTTAATGTAGAAAAATATCTAATTTTATGAAAAAAGAAATTCAAATTTGTGTCAAAAAACTTGTTATTTTAAGTAAAACTAAATTCAAATTAGAACAATTTAGATCATTAATTAGATTTTTCATTTAAACTATAATTAAAATAATTAAATAATATTATGCAACTGTTATTGCTATTTTGAATTATTTTCACAAAAAAAATAAAAAGTAATACTTATTAAATTAAATTTTCAGTGATTTGAAAATCACGTATTTTTTTCGATATATATATTATATCAATGTTTTATCACTAAATAAAAACTATGTACAAATGACTATGAATATTCTTAGAATAATTCAGTGCAACATTCCAACTTTTACAAAAAGCAGTAAAATTTGATCAAAAATCTTTTACAAAATCGAATTATTGGAAATGTATATTGTTTTTTTTCAATAAGTGATATTTTTCATTTTTTTTCATTTTGAGAATGCAAGACTTTTATATTATAGTAGACGTGTAATTTCAAACTTGATGGAATTTTCTGCTTGTAGTTTACTTTAGAGACTCAGGTTGTTATCAAACTATTTCTAACTTCCGCATCCTCCGGATATTCCGCGGCTTTTTCCACGTTTGGTGTATAATGAGTTCCATTGAATTCACAGAAATACCTTCCAATCTCAAAGTTGTTTATCCATTGAGGTGTGGCGAGAATTAACAAATTTTCTGTAAAAATAAATTTAAACATTTTTATTTAGAAAGATAAATTTAAAAGTTTAGATTAAAAACAGAAAAACAAAATTTATCTTTTAAGTAAAATTTTCAATTTAAATAGTTTACGGAAAGTTAAACTCTTAAGTTATTATCGTTTAAATAAAAGTTTATGTATGTTTTAAATACTCATGAATCTTTAATTCGCTGATAAACAAAAAAAATTATTTCAACCTGAATTTTGATGATTTTAATTTGTAATTCGTAAATATTGATAAATTAGAATATTTCCAGAAGTAAATTCAAAACAAAGAACTTATCACCTTTAAAAAACTTTTTAAAAATATACCAGGTGTACAAATATTTTTCAACCTTGTAAATATTAATGTTTTAAAATTAGTACAAATAGGATAGAAATAATTTAAATATTCCAAAAATGAAAAATTTTACGAACCTTGAGCCACGTAGCGAGAGGAGCCGTCATCAGCAAAAACATTATAAAATGGTTGATGAGAGCCGCCTGATAATTCCTCAACTCCCATCTCATTCATCCACTCGAGTGACGCTTCGCATCGAGCGTCCCATCCAGTTATTACGCACGTGTATTCGTACCTTCGATGCTTCATTATCATCCCTACCGCATATTTTACTTCCGGTTTCCTTATTTTTACATCGACAATTTCCTAGAAAAAAAGTATCAGTGTTAATAAAGTTTCTTCAAAAATTCAGTAAATCCGGAATTAAAACTTTTAATTCTAGATCGAATTTGGTAAATAAAAAAAGAACTAAGAATTATTTTTAAATCTGATTAGAAAAGAATTATTAATAAATTAAATTACTTCTCGCACAACATTCATGTGATTTTCATAGTCTTGTAACATTCTTAAAATACTGCATGCTGGTCCTCTTGATGAAAGTTCTGAACCCTAAAAAAGAAATGAATTTTTACACAAACTCTCACTATTTTAATGATGAAATAAAAATTTTCATTAAAAATTACCTCCTGTATTCGGTTCAAAACATCGACTAACTTCGCCAGATCCATTTGGTGAAGCATGTAAAAACGAGCTAGATCTAAAATTGTTGCATTATCGTAAGGTCGAACCATGTGCATCAGTTCTAAAGCGGATCGAAGTCGTGATGCCCTTCCGTTTAAGTACCTACACTGTCTGGCAGCGACTTCTAAATTATTCGCCATTCTTTGCACAACCTAGAAAATTATTAAGTTACAAATTGACCCAGATAGTTTCTAAGCTAATATAAATTTTTGTAAATGTCTGCTTTCAATGAAAACAAGCAGAATTCGTTTTCTAAAGAATTTAAAATAAATTTTTTTTTAAGAAACTATAAAGAAAATAAAATATAGAAACCTCCACTGCAGTTGCGGCATTGAGAGAATTGTAACATTCTATAGGGTACATCGATAGTCGTCCAATGCGGGGACAATTATTTTTCGTTAAAAATTGCCCCGTGAATACGTCGATATAGAAAACTTCCACATCCTCCGTTTCTGGAATAATGCTGCAAAAAAAAAGGATTTTAAATTTAATTATAAATTTAAGAAAACTTGAAAAATTAAAAATAAATAAAGATAAATTGAAAAAACTTAAATAAAAAAGATAAAATAGAGACTTAAAATCAGAAAATGTAGAAAGAAAACTATTTCTATTTTCTTTTTTTTCTGATTGATGACTCACTATTTTTCCTTCCATCGAAGAAAGAAGTGAGCCGGCGAACTAACGGGTTCACATCGAACGCCAACTCTTCTTGCAACGCTCTCAAAAATAATGGCAATTGTAATCGGAATTCCGTGTTTTCTCTCTAAAACTTGATCAATGAAGGAATTTTCCGATGAGTAATACATTTCCGATGTGCAATACACTTCGCTGTCGCCTTGAAATCCAAGTCTATTGAACATTATTTCACGAAGCGCCGCTATCACCTGTCGCGTTCTCGTTCCGGACCATTGATTATCGTCGATATTTTTCGTCCTCCAGAGACGAAATTGCTCGGGTGGAAGGGAAAATAATGGATGTGTTGGATGTTGTTCTTTTAACACTGATTTCGTTCTCTCGGCAATTTCATCTAATTGCGAAGAGACGCATGAATAATTAACATTCTTTTCAGGTTGACTCCATTGTGCAACAAGAACAGCGCCACGTTCCAATATTTGCTCCTTTGGTGGTAAATTTGTAAATTTCTGCCACTCTTCGGTTAAACAATGCTGTCGCATGTAGCGCGCTACTTTGTGCGCGTAATATTTATCAGTTAAATTACTGTTCCTGGAAAAAAAACCAAGTAAATACTTTTTTATCCATTTTTTTCTTGTCGTTATACTTTTTCGAAATATAAATAAATATAAGTATAAATAAATATAATTTTAAATATTTTAAAAACTTTTTTCTATATATACATTTTTTTAGAAAGTTATTACGTTAATTTTACTTATTGTAAAAATTAAAAATGTTTCAAGTGTTATTAAATAGACCTATAAAAACGCCCGTATCTTTACGAGACGTTTAAGTAACACTAATTGAAACATTTTTTAAAGACCTTTCAGTTTTCATATTAAAAAAGAATTATGAAATAAATTGTAACAAATTTTAATTATTAATAAATAATTATTATAATTATGAATAATAATTTGAAATTATAAATTAATTAAAGTATAATTATGATTGATAATTAAAATTATAAATTATGTAAAAGTCTGGATGGTTTTTTTAAGAGACAGTAAAAAATAAAAATGTTTCTTACAGGTCGGGTTTTTTTATCAGGTCAGTTAATTCGTCGACGCAAAAGTGATATGCGAGAGGATGAGAGCCTTCATCTGGACGGAAAAGAGGATCAAAGTCCTTTAATTCTGAATGTGAAAGCTCTTGTTTTCTGTAATTTTTTGCTGACATTTCAGACAAACGTCGCATCAGTTCCTTTCTCGTAGCAATGCTCGACTTTATTTCACCCAACCAGGTTTTTATTTTCGTTTCGTGCTTTTCATAATTTTCGTAAGCTTCCTTCAAGAGGGGCCACCTACGAAAAATAAATATTACATTTTCATAATCTTCAAATATTTCCAGTATATTTTTTTTAAGGAAACTTTAATATTTAAAAAAGAATTAAAATTTTTTCTAACAAAAAGTATTAGAAAAATTTATTATAAAAATAAAATTTATAAATATTAATTAAATATTAATATAAAAAATTTATAAAAATAAAATATATTAAAATATATATAAGAAAATATTTTCGAGTTTTCTCAAAAGTATTTTCTAGAAAAAATGTAATTTTTATCCAGTTGGATAATAATTATTTTGACGAACGAGAAATTCTGTTTATTTGTTTTAAATTTATCAATATGTATAAATTGTCATATGAATAAAACATTTATTCTTTGTGGATTTAAATAAAGTGCAGAGGTAAACGTTTTATTCATAGATTCAAATGTAATGTTGCACAAAATGTGTTCATTTTATCTATTAATAATAATTGTGTATTCTAGAAAAAAACCGATAAGATAAGAGAGGTTATGATGCAAACTATAAAAAACTCTTACAACTCTTATTTTTTGTATAATAGAAATGAAATATTCGAAAAATGGTTAAAATAAAGGTATAAAGAACAAAAATTAGAATCAAGATACATACCTTTGGAAAAATTTGATTCTCCATAACTTGTTGCTAAAAAACACTGTTCTGTGTAGGTGTTTACAGGTCCTGGCGAAATTGACAACATCAACAAAGCTGAGATTCTCGTTTTCCAATATTACCTCGATTACCTCATTCGGTAGAAACGTGATTAGAACATCTTGCTCCATTTTTATTCCAAGTTATTATAATTTTTAAAGGAGATACAATCTTGTTTAATATTGAACACAAAATACGCATAAATTTCACTATCTGGCGAAAAATGACTCAACCTTACAGATTTATATGTACACAGTTTGATATACATGTATAACGATGTGCATACAGCTGATGCGGAATGTCAAATTGTCAACACACAACACGCAACACGCCTTCAAACTCAATAGATAAATGAAGATTACTTCGTTACCATTAGATTATGATTTCTAGTGATTTTATTACTTTGCGTATTGAACACTGTGAGCAGCGCTAAGAAATTAACGGAAATGTCGATGAGGCGAGGACGCGTCCACTTCATAGGTAATCAAACAAAAATAATAATTAATGTAAATTAATAAGCAATCAAGTTCAGTTTGGTTCAGTTTACTATTGTTAATTAACAACCATGGTAAGATAATAATAATGACAATATTAATCCTCCTACGGTTTTACTGTTTTTCAATTTTACATCAGGAATAAATTTACAATTTTGTATTAAAATTAATTTTGACTATTTAATTTTTACATTGATATTAAATAACTTAAATACAACCATTTAGCTTCAAGTTACACTGAGAATTTTATTTATATGACTTTCGAATTAAATTTTAATTGCGACTTTTATTTATTTATTCTTATTTAATTTAAATGCGAAACCGTAGAGAGGTTAATAAAACTATTTATTGTTTGCAATTCGAATTGTCCAAACCAATTTATAATAAAATCCCACAAACAGTCAGGGAAATGTCAGGAAAACAATATTTTTATCAGTGAAGTTAGGGAAAAATACAGGAATAAAAATTTTTGTCAGAGAAAATTGAGACTTTTTTCGATTTATTTTTAAAAATTGCGACTTTTTCGATGACTTTTCTTATAAATAAAATTTTTAAAATAATTGAATTATCAAAAATTTTAATGGAAATTAATGAAAATTAGCTTCTAATTTTTTAAAATTGAATATTTTCAATTATATATTTCTGTAAATTCAAATACATGCAAAAAATAATAATATTTTAGAATTATTGTTAACATTTTGGAGAAAAAATTATGTTTAAAATTTTTAATTAAAATTCCTCAAAAAATTAATTAGTTTTTTTTTAAATTATACAAAACTTCTTTTAAGAAATTCAATTATTTTCGAAATATTACATTAAATTATTTTTAAAAACTAATTCTTCGAATTGTTTTATCATATTTTTTTAAGATTCAATTATCTTCGAACAAAGTAAATAAAAATTGGTAAAAATTTACTTTTTTATATTTTTTTAAATTTCGGAGAAATCATGGTTATATTTATAAATAAAATTCTTCAAAAATTCTATTCTTTTTCTTTATATTTTTTAAAACTTGAATTATTTTTAAAAGATTTTACCAAATTTCAATATTGATTGGAAATTTTTCCAATTGTATATTTAATTAAAAATCTATTTTCTTTTAAAAATTATTTTAAAAATATTTTTAAAAAATTAATTGTAAGAATTTCTTTATTATAATTTTTTGAAAATAATAATATTTTAATATCTTAATTACTTAAGAAAAAAACAGAGACAATTACAATTATTATAAAAAATTATTAAAATTAAAATTCATAAATTTTACTAATTTTCCGTAAACTTTCATATTTTTCTTTAAAAAAAAATTTGTGAGGGAAAATAATTTTAATGTTAGTAAATTATCAGGAAAATGTTAGGGAAATTGATAATCTCTCGAAGAAGTCGAGTCGTTTAATTAAAAGAAAAGTTCTGAGTTATTATGTTAATAATATATTATACTTACTTTTATTTTTTTTTCTTTTGAATGTCTGGGCCTTCTTCATTTTTAATTTCAAAAGCATAAAATTTACAAAATTGCTGAAGTATTATACCATATGTTTACTTAGGAAAGATTTCCTAAATTTCCAGTTGCATTTTTTTAATAATCTTAAATTAATATCATGTATACCTGATAGCAACAAATGAACAAAAAACTACATCAAAAATTAAAAAATGGAAAATTATTTAATAATTTTACTGTTTTCTCGTTTATGATTTTTTCTTCTCTGAAAGCCTCAATTTTTATGAAAATATGTTTGCACCAAGTTAAGAATTTTTATCACTATCAATTTCACTAGATATATGAAAAATGAGAAATAGTGATGAGATGTCGATCTTAAAAATTTTTAACGTCTTAATATTAATTTTTATTTTCAATCTAAATGATAGTATTTCTAATACATATTAACCCCAAATTGTACTGCAAGTATTTTATTTTCGAAAAACGAATATTTTAATCTTTTTTGATTCGATTCATTTTATTTTTATTTTTTTTAATAAATTTTAAATTTTTATTCTATTTGATATAAAAAATTTTGAATTAAAAAAATATTTAAAAAGCGGAAATTTTACTATTTTGTTGTCATGCAATATCCCCCAAAGAATTAAAAAAAATTGTAAGATTGAAGAAAATAATATCTACATCCCAACACTAGTAAATGAATAATGAATCTTAACAATGAATATCGAAAATCGATATATTTTAATTATTATCAACACTACAATAATCAAATATGGTAAACAAATTGAATAATAATTTCATGTTAATTGATTCACGATTCTCTTTTTAAAACAAAAGTTATTTTATTGTTTCCTCATGAAAAGTGTACATTTGACTACAAGAACTTTGACAAACATTTTTTTTTCCAAAAACGTTTTAATTCTAAGAAAGGCATTCTCATCTTTGGTGGTATTTTCCCTACTTTTTTTTAAATAAATAGTTTTCTAATTTATCGCAATTATTTAATTGGGCCAAAAATTTGATAAAAACGCTATAAAGGACCGATTTCAATAACTCTTGTGGTAGTAAATTTGTCATTGAGATTGAAAATTACACCTATTGTATAATCGTAAGGAAAATAATTTTATAAAAAACCTTTTCTATAATTCAGGCAAAGTGGGCTATGAATTAAAATTTTTACACAAGAAGTTGTGAACAAAAAACAAATTTTCTTGTATAAAATTTTACATTTGTTTTTCCTAAATTTTACGATATTAATAAATATTAATGTCCGAAGGTTTTACGCCGCAAACATCTGCCTAGTATTTCATTATTGAAATTATTTCATTTATTTTCATTTTTGGATTAAACAATTAAAATAAAATTTATTACGCTATCTAAAAATTTTAAAAATTGATACAAATATTTGATAAATTTCTCTAAAATTTATTTTTAATTTACTAAATTAAAGTTTATGAAATCGGTCCTTTTTTGTATTGATTACATTACTAACTTGTTTCTTAAATAAAATTTCTTTTATTGAATTTTGATTTTTAAAAAGTTCTATTGCCTACAAGGTATATTTATAGACTTGAAATACTTTCCAACGAAAAAATCGCTTTCGCTGTATACGTTTTTATATGTCCAGTAAATACATTTTTAAAAATACATTTTTGTTCATCATAGTTTAGAAAAGTGTACCTGTGTTTTTGCAATTAAATTTTTTAAAAAAACATGATTCATTTATGTTGATAATAATGTAAAAATCAATAAATAACAGAAGTAATAAAAATGGGTAATAATGTTCAAAAATAATATTAAATGTTAATGATAAAAAAGGGCAAAAGAATATTTAAGTACTCGATAAAATACTTTTTTTTAAAAAACATTTTGAATATTTTATCCATAGGCATAAAATCAGACTTGATTCTGCATTGCTTAGAATTTGAAATTTTATTTTATTTATAAAAATAATAATATTGAATTTTTCGAAGGAAAAGAAGTGATATAAATTTTTCCCTTATTTCTAAGCAAAGTGTAAAATTCAATTTTATCTTTATGGATAAAAATTTGAACAAAGAACGTGTGACTCTAGAATTTATAAAAAATTTTATATTTTGATGACAAAAAAGTGTTCTACTAAAAAAATTATGCATACTTTTTATATTTTCGAAGTCAAATACATCATTTTTGAATTCTAAAAATAGTCTGATAATTGTTAAAATAATTTAAAAATAATGCAATATTTATTAACTAAATTATTAAAAATCTCTCGAGTCACACGTTATTATTCATTGACCTATGCATTAAATATTTTCCAGTAAAAATTTTAGCCCCATAAAATGCTTCACTTTTTTTTAGAAAAACAGTAATTTAAAAAAACACCGTCAAAGACGGTTTCACGATAACTAGTACCTGTATATGAATGAATGGATTCATTTTTTTTATTTATTATTATTATATATATATTTATGAAAAAAGTGTTATGTATACTTTTTAGTGAGAAATAATTCGGCAGGCTTAGAATTTCGATCTCATCGTACATTTATTCGTCCGTCATAAACAATAGAACACAATTAATCGTGTATATATAACAAAGATTATTTCGTTTGATTGGGCGGTGGAAAAACGTACGTCGACGGCAATTAATAATTCGATCGACGTTTGCGACACACGCTTAGTCTGCATATCGAGATAAAACCGAATCGTTATTAGAAACCTGGACGAGGAATCAGGAATTCGCTGATCATTATTATTATTTTTTTTTCTGTCGCCAGCGAGTAATTATCGTACAACGACTTTTCCGTTATGAGTTATAATCACTTTGCTAATGTTTATTTCATAAAACATTTTTCATTATAGATTAATTTTTAATTTTAATATATATATTTATATATATATGTATATATATAAATAATTTAATACCTGGTTGTCGCAATGATAGTTTATCGTTATTTACACTATTCAGTATAAAATGCGAGTTCGAGATTAAGTCACACCACTAGATCTTTTTATTTTTGGACACTAGATGTCGTTGGTTAATAATTATCAATGCTTGTACTCGGGAAAATGCGAAGAGGGCTGTAGGGCAGTATTTCCATTATCACTAGCGTTGTTGGTATTTAATCCTTTAGGGGAACCGTTATTCATTATGTTACAATCTAGACTAAAGTTACCGTCTAGTGGGCATTTTTTAATATTAGGCGAGTGTTTCACATCGATTCCACGAACGTCGGGGGGATTTTCTTGTTGGGATTGAGCATTTTCAGCTTCGTCATTGGCGAAGCCATTATCGGTGTGGGGTGGGGATGGATAGTAGCCACGCTGTTTGATTGGCTTTTGATCCGTCGTTAGATGCTGTTGCTGCTGCAGTATCATCTGTTGAAGCTGTTGTTGTTGT